TCATAAAATTTTCATAAATTCCATATGCAAATTTAATAAATATAGTAATCTTACATTCCCAGATGTGATGATACTTCAATATTATATTCTCCTTAATAAATGTGTTTCGATTAGGAAACGTTATTGAAAAAATATTTAATATTACCTTAAATTAAAATCGTCCTTCTTAACATTTGCAATTCATCCCCCAAGTAGGGACAAAGTTACTTTGTTAGCTAGGTATTTGATCGAGCCCAATGACTTTAGTTTTAAACCCTAAATTTGTAATAAGAAATTTATTAATAGGTATAAAATTATTTATTTAGAAATAAAAGTATGTTTACTATGTATTTCTGACATGAATAATTTTATCCACTCGCGAGTGAGCACTGAGCAGTGGCCTATGAGAAGCGGGTTGTAGGTGCGGGTGGTGAGCACTTAGCGAGGAGGATTGAGCAACGGGTAACGGCTGGCCTGAACTTAAGAGACGACGAACGACGAGTTGAGAGATGAGAGTTAAGAGACCACTGATGAGAGTGAGAGATGAGTTATGGATTTCAGTTCTGATTGGAATTTGGGTCACATTTGTGGGCTATGGGTATTGCTTTTACTCAAATCTATTTGCATTGACGATATTGTACGGATATGACATGTAATGTATGTTATTTGCTGATAATATACGTTTGGTTGAAGAAACGTGAAGTTAGAGATTTGAAGACAGAGTTTAAAGTAAAAAAATCATATTGAGTTGAATCAAAATTAAGAATTTGAAGTACAAGTTTATTAAAGTAATTCACAAAAGAGAGATACACTTGAAGCTTGACACACATATTATCCCTAAGAACGGAAATTTTAAGACGTAATTGCAGTCACTAATTCATGATAACTGAGATATTAATGAAAATACAAATCGTATTGAGGCAAAGTGAATAAAATGAAAGTTACTAACATGTCTTTTTGTTTGATATGCATGTTCTACCCAAACTTAAAATATTTGAATTACTTAGACTAACTCGAAATAATTTAGTCTACGAACCAAATATTCGGAATGAATGAGGCTATATTTGGATAGCTCCAATAAGCTAACTACTCTACTCTTCATGTCCTCTCCATTGTCATGTAATACTTCCCTTATCCCATTCTCCATGCCCTCCGTCCTCCGTCCTCTTCAGTCCACCACCACAACGGCTGCTGGAAGCATCATCGCCACCACATCTTACCTTCATCACCCGTTTTCCTTCCCCTAAAACCCCTTTCATCATCTCCCTCAATATCCCTCTGCACCCCCTTTTCTTCATCTTCCACATTACCCCAACAACTTCTGCTCGATTCCCAAAAAAAATAAAGTTGATTTTGACAAATGGGACCCCATTTCTGCTTGTGGGTGTTGATCTTCATGATCTTCAGCTTAGAAGCAACAGAGTATTTGCAGTTGAGAGCTTTAGAGAGAAAGAGAAATTTTGAGGAAGAAGATATTATTGATTGTGTGCTTCATCACCTCCATGTGATCTATATATATACACTTCATTAACTAACTAAGAATCTTCTAGAACTAATCTGTAACTAACTAACTATAAATTAACTAACTAACTAAGTAGTAATCAGCTGTTAGTCAGCTCTACACTAATCTTCTGTTTCAACACCCTCCCTCAAGCTGATGGTTGATATATATCCTTCAAGCTCAGCTTGGACATGACTGTGTTGCTGCCTTCCTAAGCCTTTTGTGAGTATATCCGCTTGTTGTTCCTTTGTAGAAACATGATGAGTCTGTTTAATTCCTTGCACAATCTTCTCACGTACAAAGTGACAATCAATGTCAATGTGCTTTGTTCTCTCATGAAAAATAGGATTGGCTGCAATTTGAATTGCTGCTTTGCTATCACAGTAAAGATGTATAGGAACTTCAACTGTTATTCCAAGTTCTTTGTACAATCCAATCAACCATGTTAATTCTGCTACCACTGATGCCATACTTCTGAATTCTGCTTCAGCTGAACTTCTTGCAACTGGTTCTTGCTTCTTTGACTTCCATGAAACAACAGCACTTCCAAACTTAACTAAGTAACCTGTGACTGATCTTCTGGTTTGTAAACATCCACCCCAATTAGAGTCACAAAATGCCTCAAACTTGCATGAGCTATCTGCAGGCATAAGTAAACCAAGACCTAGTGTTCCTTTTATATATTTAACTACTCTTAAAGCTTCTTCAAAATGAGACTATTTGGGCTTATGCATGAACTGACTTAAAACCTGTACCACATATGCTATATCAATCCTTGTCATGGTTAAGTAGAGTAATCTGCCTACTAACCTTTGATACTTGCCAGGATCAGTAAGAAGCTTATCATTATCTGTAGGAGTATTATTAATGATGGAATCATAGTCAACATATGTGAGTTTAAGATTTGTTTCCAGTGGTGTTGTGAATGGCTTAGTACCACTTAGCCCCATCTCAGCTACCAACTCCAATGTATATTTTCTCTAGCTCATAACAATTCCTTTCTTTGACCTTGCAAATTCAATTCCTAGGAAGAATTTCAATTCTCCTAGATCTTTCATCTTGAATTGCAGCTTAAGATCATTCCTCGTTTGAGTAATTAATTGAACACTACTTCCAGTCACTAGCAGATCATCAACATATACTAGAACAATCACTATATCTCCTGCAACTACTTTAGTGAACAAAGAGTAGTCAAAGTGACTTTGAGAGAACCCAAGCTGAACCAATGCATCTGTTAGCTTCTTGTTCCATTGTCGTGGAGCCTGTTTCAGCCCATACAATGACTTATGGAGTTTGCAGACATGATGAGTTCCCCCCTTGCCTGCAAAACCAGAAGGAATATCCATGTAAACCTCCTCAAGTAAGTCACCATGTAGAAAGGCATTGTGTACATCCATCTGAAAAACAGGCCAGCCTTTGGTAGCAGCAATAGCAACAATAGACCTTATAGTCACCATCTTGGCAACAGGAGAAAATGTTTCATTGTAGTCTAACCCCTCTTGTTGACTGAATCCCTTAGCAACCAGGCGTGCCTTATATCTCTCCACAGCACCTGAGGCAGTGTATTTGACCTTAAAGATCCACTTACAGCCAATTACATGTTTACCAGAAGGCAATGGTACTATACTCCATGTGGCATTATCTTCTAATGCTTGAATTTCAGCTTTCATAGCAGCAATCCACTTAGGGTCCTGAGCAGCCTCATGATATGTAGTTGGTTCAATGATAGCAGAGTAAGAGGATAAGGCTGCACAAAATGATGTTGAAAGATGATCATATCCTAGAACCTGAGATAAAGGATAGCAGCAATTGGCATTACCATGTCCTTTACTAATGTAGTCACTCATCCAAACAGGTGGTTTATGAGGTCTAGAAGATCTTCTTACTTCAGGTACAGACACATGTGAAGGAGATGCTGAGGATACTGGATGTGTAGAAGAACTTGAAGAAGAGCAGCTCTCAACACTAGGTGAGGTAGGTACAACAACTGTAGAAGTAGAAGTAGATTCTGTAGAAGACTGCAACTGTGGCTCTAATACAGGAAATAAAGGATGTACATCTGTAGCCAATTGATGAAATGGAAAAATATCTTCATGAAAGACTATGTCTCTGCTCACGCAGAATACTTTGGTGCTAAGATCATACATGATGTAACCTTTTTTTGTTGATGAATAACCAAGAAAAACAGCAGGAGTAGCTCTAGGAGCAAACTTATCTACCTTGCGAACTTGAGTAACATATCCTAAAAAGCCAAATACTCTCATATGATCCAAAGAAGGAGAGTGCTTGTATAGAACCTCAAATGGAGATTTACCCTTAAGAACTGAAGAGGGCAATCTATTGATAATATATGTAGCAGTAGTAACACACTCTCCCCAAAACCTCAAAGGAACTCTGGCTTGAAATCTGAGAGCTCTTGCAACCTCCAATATGTGTCTATGTCTCCTCTCAGCAACACCATTCTTTTGAGGAGTAAATACACATGAACTTTGATGAACAATCCCTAAGGATTGTAACAAGGAATTCATGGATGAGTTAAAAAATTCACAGCCATTGTCTGTCCTAAAGTACTTGACAGAGGAATTGTAGATGTTTTTAACCATAACAAGAAATGAAGACATTGCAGCAATGACATCTGACTTGGTAGGTAACAGAAATAACCACATATATCTAGAGTAATCATCAACAAGAGTCAAGAAGTATCTCTTTCCATTATAGGTAGGAACTCTATATGGCCCCCAAACATCACCATGTACAAGATGAAAACAAGTAGTAGTCATAGAGGTACTGAAAGGAAATGGTTTTCTAGTCTGTTTAGCTAATGGACAGATGCTACAATCAGAGATAGAATCACATTGCAATGAGTTACAAGTTCTTATTTCCTTCATGACAGCAGCTGGAATATGCCCAAGTCTCATATGCCATATAGAGGCAGTTAGTGTCTTGTGTTGAGTAACATTTGTTGCAACTGGTTGCCTTGAAATGTGCTTGGTATCTACACCAATTATTTCCCTAGTTTGAGAAGGAGCTGACTGTGAACCAGCATTGTTAGCATTGAAGATGTATAACCCATTCTTCTCTCTACCAATCCCCTTCACCTGTCCACTGAAGGGATCCTGAAAAACACAGAAGTCAGGATAGAAAAGTACTGCCCACCTCAATTCCTTGGTTAGTTGAGATACAGACAATAGATTGTATTGGAACTCTGGTATATACAACACATTAGAAATGTGTTGAGTGTGAGGTAGGATAACTGAGGATCCTATATGATGCACATTAGCTAGCCTTCCTGTTGGTAAGTGAACCTTAGTATCATCATAGTGTGAAACATCTCTAGAAGTAATTAACATATGTAGAGAGTTGACCATATGATTTGATGCCCCTGAATCTACAATCCAGTACCGTGCATCATCAGATTTGATCATACCTACTGCCATGGCTGAATGTTTGCTCTCATTAGAGTCAAGTAGTTGCAAAATTTTGCTGTATTGATCTTTGGTAAACTGAGGTAGTCCAGGTATCATATCATTTGAATCCTGGCTAAGCTCTCCACCTTGTTGCAATTTTGAAGTTCCTGCAAAATTAACAGAAGAACTAGCAGTACCACCAGCAGTACCACCATTTACCTTGCTACTTTTATCACCACCAGATCCAGATGTGTCTCTTGTAGATTGATTTTCAGCACCAAATCTTTTCTTAGGCTTATAGTCTGCTGGATATCCATTCAGTTTGTAACAGGCATTCCTAGTATGACCTCGAATGTGACAGAAATCACAAATAACATCTCCTCTCCTAGATCTGTTGTTGTAAGTTCCAGATGAGTAATGGCTTGGTGAAGAACCTGGACCTCCTCGACCTCCTCCTGGGTAGTTGCTGCCATTTCTACCAGTGTGAGTACTGCTAAACAATGCCATTCCTTCTGAGTTCTCATCACTAGGTGAAGATGTTAAAGACCTTCTACTTTCTTCAGAGAGAATCATGGCATATGCCTTGTTAATGGAAGGTATGGGTGTCATCATCATGATTTGATTACTAGACTGAGAGTAGGAATCATTTAGCCCCATCAAAAACTGAACAAGCCTCTGATAATCAAAGTGTTCCATATATTTTTTCGATTCAGTGCATGAGCAACTTGGACAAGGCATCAATGCATCAAATTCAGCCCATAACTCCCTCATTTTAGAGAAATAACTGGAAACTGAAGAAACTCCTTGAGATAAGGTAGCTAGTTGCTTATGAAGATAGAAAATACGAGATCCATTCACTTTATCAAATCTCTCTTGAAGATCAGACCAGACCTTGTAGGCACTAGTTGCATACACAATTCCACTTAGTAATTCAGTGCTAACTGAATTCATAATCCATGATAAGACTACAGCATTGCACTTTTCCCACAAATCATGTAATGTAGCTTCAAACTTCTCTATAGGACATTTACCGGTTACAAATCCTAACTTACTTTTGCCAAGCAAGCTAATACGCATAGAACTACTCCACAAAGCATAGTTTTCTGGACCAGTCAACTTAATAGAGATTAAGGAACTACCTGGAGTGTCACACGATTGAAGAAACAATGGATGATGTTGATCGATTGTCACCACATTGTTAGTCGAGTTACCTCCAGCAGCATTATCAGATTTAGTGAGAGTTGGCATAGTTCTGATTTGGTTCAAACTTTACAGAATGATGCAGAAGAAGATGAACCTGATGATTGCAGCTAAACGAAAAAAACAAGAAGGAGAGAAACAGAGGATGAAATCACGCAGTGTGATGCTCTGATACCATGTTGATCTTCATGATCTTCAGCTTAGAAGCAACATATTTGCAGTTGAGAGCTTTAGAGAGAAAGAGAAATTTTGAGGAAGAAGATATTATTGATTGTGTGCTTCATCACCTCCATGTGATCTATATATATACACTTCATTAACTAACTAAGAATCTTCTAGAACTAATCTGTAACTAACTAACTGTAAATTAACTAACTAACTAAGTAGTAATCAGCTGTTAGTCAGCTCTACACTAATCTTCTGTTTCAACATGGGGTTGCAGAAAGTTTCAGTTTTGATTATTCTTTTGATTCTGTGGAGTTGAAGAAGTTTGAAACCCTAGCTGTTGAGGTGAGGGAATTTGAGGATATTCCTGATCAATGGCGTAAGGCAAGATTAGCTTGTCTTTGTAAAGAGCTTCCTGCTCATAAGACGCCTACTACGAGTAGGATTTTGAATGCACATAGGAAGTGGTTTAGGCAAGAAGATGGGACTTTTGTTGCTGTTCATTATATGCGAATTCACGAAAAATGAAGCTACTTTTAGAGTAATGCATTCATTTTTTTTTGAGTTGAACAATTAGACACATGCGACCTAGTTAACCTCTGGCATCTATATCATGTGTCCTTCAATTCAGAGAATACACACAAGTACACAAATAAATTTCTATATATAGTTGAACAAGTAGACAAACCGCAGACATGTCATATGTGGCAATCCATGTGGCATGATACATGACGTCTTGTTTGTATGTATTATGTCATGTAAGATATGTGTGTCCTAATTATTCAACTTTATACGCGTTTAAATGTCAAGTTGTGCACACTCAAAATTAAATGACATAGATACAATTTGATATCAAGTTAAAGGCATGCGTATATATTATACCTCATTATGTTGGTAAAAGTATTTGGGTTGATCATTAGTAGCCTCACTTATTAGTACTCCATATATTATGTGGAAGAAATTTGATATAAATTTTGGAGAATTTGGAGAAAATTTATGTTCAACTGTATGTGTTTGCGAAATGAAGTTGCTTCTAGGGTAAGGTACTTGTGCTTCTTAAGATTTTGTACTTATACATAATCGGATATGTATGTTCTAGAATCTTATTTAGAATAAACTGGTGTTCGTTTTGAATTTTGATGTGAAAACGGAAAAAGATTAATTAATTTGTTTCAGGAGAAGAATTGACATTAGGGACACCAATAAAATTTAATTCACTCTATAGAGACTTAATTTATTTTTACTTTACTTTTTAGGATTGACTTTTAAAAAAGGAAAAAAATGTGGGGCCATGTTTTTTTTTTACAACTTGGGGTACATTTGTGAATGTGGAGTCAAGACTTATTTAGTGTTTTTAAAACTTAGGAAAAATATGTATCTTTACCAAATATATTATAATCTCAATATATTTTATTTTATATTATATTCTGATTTTACATGTTAAAATATATATATTAAAAAAGACACCTTTTTGGGACTGTTTCGACGTTTCTTCTTCTCAACTCTTCTTCTTCCCCATACATTGATTCTATCACTAATCATATCATCTCCTCCCGCCTCTCTTCCCTATACACTTCTCCAAATGTTTCAAGAGAAAGAAGAGAAATCTCTCTTTCTTCTTTCAATATCATCGATTTTCTTCCACATACGTTTTACCATCCATTAAACAAACGTTCAACCATTTCATCGTCCTAAACGTCAAATCTTCATTTGTTTATTCTTCTCAAAGTTCAAAGATTTCATCATTGGTAATTTCATTTGAGTTTAATGGTGGTTTTTGGTTATTTTAGCAGTATTTGGTTGTTTATTTTGTTATAGTAGTGTAATAAATCCTTTTTCTGGATGATTTTTTGGCATGTTCTTGTTTAGGATGCCGTATTTGATTGTTTATTTTAGAGAAAAGACATACAGACACCATCAAAGTTGTTCCGCATTTGCATAAAGACACCTTAACTTTTAAAGTGTCCTATTACCCAACAAAACTAATTAATTTCTTTGTAAATGAGCCATTTTGACCCATTTTCTTGTCTATGTTGTGGTGCGTGTTGCTCAACTCCCTATGATCTAATTCGACCCGACCCGACCCGACCCGACCCTATTCTTCAAAGAGAAGTCATCTTCTGTATTTCTTTTCTTCTCTGTTTGGCTTGCACCTTCAAGAAATTTTTGTTAATTTGTCTTCATTCGGATTTTTTTATATTCAGCTATGGAGTTAGGTGACAACAAAATTCTGAATGTGGGATTGCTATTAGTTGCAACAATTTTGGTAGCAAAACTCATACCTAAATAACTCACACATTTATGCTAACTCAGAACAAAACCCTTGCGTAGCACTTTCTTGCACATTGCAAGAAAAGTTAATGCAGATCCAATTGACAACAGTTCCTCCATTAACCATTTTCTTGTTCATCATGTTCCATTGGCCAACTTGTGGCAGACAATCTTTTTCTCAGCCATTATGGCCAGCTGTGATGCTTAGACAGGAGCATCCATATCTTGGAAGTGTTTACTTTGAATTTATTGAACAAGAAAATCACATTCTTCATTGATCCAGAAGTGGTCAAACAAAGAGTATCAACGTTGATTTTGCTATGGAAAAAACTATGAATTTGAAAAATTAGGGTTAACAATGATTATTTTGGGTTTAAATTTGGGGAAGATGACATAAATTGATAAAATAATTAACAATAAAGAAAAATAATGACACATGACACTTTTAAACTTGTTCATGGCAGTAAAAATAATGCATGACGCGCCTCATGTGCGTGGTAACAACTCAGACTAGGAAATGGGTCAAAATTAGTCCATTTACAAAGAAATTAAATAGTTCTGTGGGGTGATAAGACACTTTAAAAGTTAAGGTGTCTTAATGCAAATAAAGGATAACTTTAATGGTGTCTTTATGTCTTTTCTCTTTATTTTATTATATTAGTGTAATAAACCCTTTTTCTAGATGAGTTTTCTTCATGTTCTTGTTTAGGATGCCATATTTTATTGTCATTTTGTTATAGTAGTTTAATAAACCCTTTTTCTGGATGATTTTATTTCATGTTCTTGTTTAGGATGTTGTATTTAGTTTTTTATTTTAATAAACCCTTTTTCTGGATGATTTTCTTCATGTTGTTTTTTAGGATGAATATTTGTGGTCTCTAATGACGTTTTTGTTTGAATATAAATATTTGACTCTATTTGGTTGCTTTTAAAAAAATTGTGTATCTCGCTTGTTGATTTTTGAATTTTGGCTTTTGCTATGGATTGTTGTTTTGTCCGTTGTGCAGTATTTTTCAATGCACTCTTTTGTTAGACTTTTATTGACTTTAATATTTTAGGTTTACTGTGGTTATGGCTAAAAATAGAGGCGGTCTGATTAAAAAATTTGTTCCTAGTCTTGCAAAAACAAGAAAAGGAAGGTTGAACCTCAAGTTCCAAGGTGTTCAAAAAAGAAAAAATTTGTTGAAGAACCCAAGTATGATTTAAATTCTGATATGATGGATGAAATAGACAACTATGAGGAGATTCTTGATGAAGTTGAGTCTAGTGAAGAGAGCAGTGGAGACGAGTCCACAAGTGGAGATAGCCGAGATATTGAAGATGAGGATGATGATTCTATGTCCTTGCCAACTTGTTCAAGATAAATCTCGGATAAGTCCTATAATCTCACTACATGTATAGACGAGTTAGGATCTTTTCTAGTTAAGATTTCTTTGAGAATAGGAATGACTCTGTATAATGATTTTAGAAATGTTTTACTTAACTTTGAATTTTTTTAATGACTTTAAAGGTAGTTATTTTGGTTATTTAAGACATATTTTAGAATTTTACAAGTTTAATAGACCAATGGTCCATTACATGTTGCGTCGTGTAAATCATGATAAAAAATTGCATGAAATGTGATTTTGTGTGAATGATAAGCCTACATGTTTTGACTTTAAAGAGTTTGCATTGTTTTCGAATCTGAATTGTGGAGCATACCTCGCGATATAAAAATGAAAAAAAGTACTTGACAAATGTGAGAAATTTTACTTTAAAGTAACCAACAATAAGAATATTAGTGGTTCGAATTTGTTGAGTTTGATTAAGGGTTCTAGATTGAATTAAGAGCAGAAGTTCAAGTGCTCTTTAATTTGATTTGTCCACTAAATATTGTTTGCCCACGGTCGATCTAAGATTGTGGAATCAAACCACATTATGATGGCCAATGATTTAGAGTTTTTTAACAGTTATCCATGGGGCAAAGAGTGTTTTGATTAAAGAATGAAGTATTTGAAAACAAAATTTAATTTGAAGAAACAATGTGGCGTATACAAGGAAAGAGAAAATGTATCGTATGCTTTGTATTGCTTTCCCTGGACGTTTCTGGTAATTTTCTTTTATCATTTATGGAGTTGATTAATATTAAACTCTTACATATTTATGTTCATTTATTTCTTATTTTATTAATTTTATATTTGGATATATGAGTCTTTTCCTCATCTTGGTATATATGCAAATAAGTCATTGGATTCTCCACTTCTAATTCCCCGTTTACTTAGATGACACACGACAAAAAGTGATAACATTATCGAAGGTGATCCATTTAAGTATACAAAGGTATATACTTATTTTGTTATATAACAATATTTGTAAATTAGTGAAGGTCTTGTACTAATTATAATTTTTTTTAGGTTGTGCATCCATATCTAGTACCTACTATCTGTGAGAAGAAATAAAATTATATGGCAACAGGAAAGTCATATATGGACGAAGTGAATGACACAATTATTAATGCCTTAAAGGCCAGTTTGAAAAGTGTCACTGTCCTCACTTCTACAGTAGGTCATGTGAAGGATGAATATTTAATCGAACAAATTTCTAATCAACCTAGGGAGTATTCTATACCAAGT